TAGCCCGGGCGCACTGATTGATCTCCGCATGCTGAGTAGTGTTTCTGGACCTTCGCACTGCTGATCAGCATGGAAGCCCGGAGCTGACAACTCGTCCGAGGGGAACATCCACGGGAACATGTCTAAAGCCTTCATCGGCATCACAGTGGACAAGCTGAATTCGACCCCAAAGTCTGACGTACCAACAGACAGATCATCAAGGAACCGTTTGAACGTGCTCATGGTTTTGAATGAAACCAACCACATTGCATAAGCGACTGCAAAGAACTTGCATGACAGGGTTGTGCCTCCTGAGCTCAGGGTAATCGGAGGGCAATGCTCTTGTATAAATGCATGTTTCAACTCGGTCATCCAGGTTAATTCTTCATTGTTTACAACTTCGTCGTCGATGAGGTCGAGGGGCGTGGCTTGGCGACATCGGATCAAGTACTGAGCGGTTGTGAACATCTCAAAAGCTTTGAACTTAGGGAGGGTTTTGACATGGACCAGCTGGAAATCTCGCCCACGCTGCATTGACGAGTCAGCCATGAAAAAACGAATGCACCCTTTATCACCTGAGAGCTCCGCATCAAGGTCCCTGCCATACAACAAGAGCGCCCCGTCGATAAGCATCTTCCAGCGGGACACCGTCCCTTTACTGAGCTTGAACTTTGAATTCGTATTCACGTACTGCTTCACACACTCCAGCAATGCAGGCGGCAACGCCAGACTGATTGCATACATCAGGGATGTGTGTATCTTACCAGATTCCTTCAGCAAATTGCATAGCATGAAGGCTTTGATCATGTAGAGCGTTCTGCTCAGAGGAGTCCGCCCTCCAACTTCAATGCCAATGCCGCCGCGCTTGCAGCCCACCATCTGCCTATGAACTTCTGCGGGGCTGAGCTGCACTGCAACATGGTCCAACAGAAGGATTGACTCTTCAAGTGATTTGTATTCTTCCTCGTCCATCTCGCTGGCAGGATCTAGAGTTCGGGCCGCGGCCCTGAAATGGTCGGATATTCTTCGAAGGATCCCAGGTGTCAACACGACATCGCCGTCGCCAGCAAATGGGCGCACCTCCGCCGGAGGAGGAAGTGGCTCCAATTCTAACAAATCCAGGCGAACTCGCAAATATTTCACGCCCTTCGTGACCGTGTCATGTGGGAGCAAGAAATCACTGCACGCCTTCTTTGAACATAAAGCTGCCAACGGCGATGGCAAGCGCACCGTGATCTGAGGACACTCGTACGGCCAATCCGCACCAAGTTTCTCGAACAACCTGTCAGGTTGTCCCGCTTCCATTTGACATACACTTCCACGATAAACCCTGTCGCTGACTTGTTGAATCACCTCGAGGTTCTCCAGAGGACAAATGTGTACAACTTGGAATCGCAACAACTGCACCATCGGGTTGAAACTTCTGCAAAGATGGAACTGCTCCTTTAGAAACCCATCAAGCACGGTCATGTGAGTCACTTCTCCCACATATTTAATCACAACTGCCCCGTATACTCTAGATTGCATGCATGCAATTTGCAAGTCCTCCGCATTGTTCCAATGCTGATGTTATCAAAGGCGTGCTTGTAAGTTGTGAAAGATGTACGTACTGTCGCTTTGGACCATACCTGAAAGTGTCTTGTGCGGAGGATAGCCAGCAGAGAATTGCATCATCCATCTGTTCGCCAAAATGGCTGCGGATTGCAACATGTCGCGTGTATTCCAATTACACTTTTATGCTGTTCTTCTTATTGTTTGGACGGGGGGTCAATGCGGCCCATGGGGTCCCCAGCAAACACGCCCCCCGAACCCCCAAAAGAAGCTTGCGGGGCGCCCAAAGGGTTCCAAGAGTCCAAGAGAGCCCTGGGGGAAACACGGCATGGCCCCAAGAGCCATGCTTCCAAGCTGACACCCAAGACCGCCCGCCTGCAGGCTCCAATCCCAAAAGAATCCGAAGGACCCTCGAAGACGACCGTCAGAGCACCAGGGGGCCAATATGTCAAGCCGTCCAGATGGGTTCAACATGGAGTATGAGAAAAGGATAAGAACGTCGCCGAAGACAATGACGATAATGATTCCGTTGAGGATGAAACAGAAGAGGAGTAGGAGGTGGAGGAGGCAGAACAGGGTATAATAATGCAAGAAGATAAGCTTTTTGTTTGCGGCCTGGACGGCCAATGATCCATGCATTGTTTTTCTGCTGGAGGTCGATTGTTCCCCCTTCGGGCAAAACCCCGAGCCTTGAATTCACGATTTGCTATGCGGGGGGGGGGTAGGTCATCCTTGGCAGTCTCGCTTAAACAACAATATGGTTGGGGTGAAACCAGGCCATCCCCCCATCGAATATAATTGGATATGTTTTGGCTGGTTATCTGGTTTGGGACTTCAAATGGCAAGAACTACGAATGATCAGCCCAACCCGTGCAGTGCACTCGCAGCGTCACGGAAAAAGTGGAAACAACATCATGGGGGCCCCCAAGGAGGTTCTACCGCCTTTTGTGAAACCTAGCAGTCACGACCGGACCCTCAGACCCAATCTTCCTGTGGCATTCTTCGAGCCGGATCGATCCGCGAGCGCCTCGGGAGACGGAAAGGTGGCGAAATCGCGGGGTGTCAAAAGATCGCAACGCCAGGATCTCAGGGTCCAGGCCAGGCTGGCGCCTATAGGTGACGCCAAGGGATCGTGCGGAGGGACTCTTTGTACGCCCAGAATGGGGACGGAAAGGATTGGTACCAGCAAGGCCTTGTCATGCTGACCAAGACTCACCATCCCCTGGAACCCTGATGACAGCGGTCCTTGTCATGCTGACAGCAAGTCTTGCCCATTCGGAGAACCAGCTCTGTCCAACGAACAAGGATTTGCTGTCGAGCGACAAGCTGTGCTGTGCGACGGGGCCCCGAAGGACGGCAAATCTGGCTCCAGACGAAAAGGAACTGCTGTCGGGCATTGTACCCAAATCTTGCGAGGGGGCAGTCCCCCGACGTTGCACTCCAGATTTCGTGATAAAAGGGAGGGGGTCTTGGACCCTCCAAGACAAGCCATTTCAGACCCCCCCCCCGTGGGAGAACCCTCCAAGACATCGTCCCCAGACCCCCCCAAGCCCTCCAAGATAGCCTGGAAGAGACCCCCCCCCGAAATGAGACCCCCTCCCATTTATTACGAAATCTGGAATAATTTTGTCACGTCGTCGACTCCTGGAGGTCTCGACCCATTGCCCAAAGGCCGGATTTTCATCCTGAACAATGTTTTGTCGCCCTGGGGCCCAGCGCGGGCCCCCAGAGGCCGAACACATAGCTAAAACAGCGTCCGCGTGTGTTTTTCATGACGCGAGGGGGTCTGAAGGGTCTGGCAAGTCGATCCCCAGCCCTCTCCTGGGGTGCGTTCTGACCAGAATTTGGAGGCGGACCCTGCAGCCCTGGCGACGAGGAGCCCCCAAGATCCTCCAAGCCCGAAGGTCGAAGGAGCCCGTCGCGACTTCCTCTCGACACGAAGGGGGAGGCTGGCACGGGACGCTCTGGAACGGAACGGTCTGGAACGGTCTGGAACGGCCCGAGAGCGTTCCGGAACGCTCTAGAACGGACGGACTTATCCTCGTCCCGGCCCCGCCTGACATCGCCCCCCCCCCCCCCCCACAGGGCAGCATCAGGAGGCACCGCCTGGGAGGTCATCGCAAGAACGACTGAGGGCGAGTAAGCCCAATGATAAGGCCCATTGAGAAGACGTTAGGCCGGATTGGGCCAGAGTGAGCCCAAGTTAAAGCCGGATCAAACATGATCAAACGGGATTGCACGGGATTGCGTAGGCCGGGTTTGACGGGCTATCGACCGCGGATATACCTACGCCGAGTTTGAATTAAACCTCATGGGAGGTGACGCATCCGCTAGCTGCCCAGAACCACAAGCCTCATGATCTCTCTGCATGGCGCGGGCGCCGGGGGAGCTCGAACCGGCGCTGGGCTGAATGGGTATGGCGGCTTTTGGCACTCCTCCCTGCTCCGTGCTCCACCCTTCCTCTTCCTCTTCCACGTCATCCTTCCTTGCATGCTTGAAGTGTGGGTGTGTGGGCCAGCATTTCCTCAGAGGGCTGGCGAATGTGTACGTTGGGTCTCTTGGACACTCTGAGAAACAGAAACTTAGCAAACTGGCTCGAGGCATTTTTCCCTAGGCCAGTGTGAGGACCAAGGGTTCTGGTCGCAAGTCGAGCGGTGGCCATGTCCAGGACAACCGCTTGGAGATTGGGACTATGTGCCGCGTGGAAGGCACTGGGTCGGGGCTGCCCCCACGGGCCCTCAATGAGTTCGACGACATGATGAGCACGGACAAGAGCATCAAGGTGTACATGCGCAAGGAGAGTACCTCTAGGGTTCAATCCACGGCGTTGGATACCCTGGGCAGAACAGGGAGGACCACCGAAGGCACCCATGGCAGGCTCCGTATGCAGTTCCAAACCCCATTTCGGCGCATACCTCACACGCTTCGTGGCCGCATGGGGAGCTCCACCGAAGGCACCAGTGGCAGGCTCCGATTGCGCTTCCACCCCTTGATTTTGGCACAACCCTCACACACTTAGTGGCCCCATGAGGAGCTTCACAGAAGGCGCCAGTGGCAGGGTCCGCATGCGGCTTCTCCCCATCCACTTCGGCGCAACCTTCACACATCTCGTGGCCCCATTGGGAGCTCTACCGAATGCACCAGTGGCAGGCTCTGCATGAGGTTTCACCCCAATTTCGGCGAAATCTTTACACGCGTAGTGGTGGCTCCATACTGAGCTTCATAGAAGGCGCCAGTGGCAGGGTCCAAATGCGGTTCCACCCCTCCGTTTCGTTGCACCCCTTGATTATGGTTGGGTCTTTCGCCGAGATAATTATACCGGATCGCTGGGAGCCTCGACCCTTGTTTTCTTGTGAGTCGTTATTGACTGTCCCGGCGCCAAGCGCGGGCACACGGAGGCCGAAAACTGTGAAAACACCTGCCTTGTTTTGTTCGCGACGTTGAAATCAGGGCTTCCAAGATCCCACATCCTGCTTGTGAGATGTGGCCGTGCCGTCATAGATCAGGGTGTTCGGGGAGCCGGTCGGGTCGCCCGCGTCGTACCACAGCCTGAACCTGAGAGACCGTCGCTTGCCGCGGGTGTGCACTGTGCTGCCGACCAGAGCTTTCAGCTGTGAGACCGTCAGGGGTTTGGGAGGGAATGCGCAGGAGGAACAGGTTCAGACCCCCTCGCATCGTCAAAAAATCACGACGGGAAATGGGTGTCGTTGCTATTTCCAGTTTCTGGGCCCCTCGGGCCCTGGGACTGTCAAAAAACGGCTCAATGTGAAAAGTAGGTCCCGAAGAATGGGTCGAGACCTCGGGGGGTCCACGTTGTGACAACATCATGAAGACGGGAGTCTGGGAAGGTGGACCAAAAACGCGCACGTCTTGGAGGCGGCCACTCAGGCAAGCGGCATCCGCTCGCCGTGCGCCCGCACGGCAACCATGACGACGTGGCAACCCCGACGCCGCAGAACTGCAACCTCGTTTGGCGCCTGCCCGCAAGCGCCAACCGCGGCCACAGTCCACCCGCAGGCCCTCGGGCCACGCAACGCCCCAGGACACGGGTCGGCGGGAAACCTCTCGGGCCCCCCGTGCCAAGAAACGAAGCGGATCCAGCCGACCGTCCGAGGCGCCTGGCTCCTGTGGGGCCACCTCGGACGGGCTCGCTCACATCTCCTACCCCAGCGCCCGCCGCTACACAGCCTCGGCGATGGACGGCGAAGAGCAAATTTACCTTGCGGTGCTCGGCGGCCGCCTCAGGCTCCTCGCCGTCGCACCCAGGTCCGGCCGACCGCGGCGACGACCCCCGGGGGCGCCGCGCTGGGGGCACTCCCACCCCTCTCCGCGGCTCGCCGCCGCCGCCGCCACCCTCCGCGTCGCTCCAGCTGGCCTCCAGCGCCCCGGCGCCTCCTCCGAAAGCACTCAGGGACCGCGGCGGCAGCCCCTGGGGCTCTTGCAACTCGCCGCCCACCGCGCCAGGCAGGTCCTGCAAGAAGATCGGGGCGCGGCTGCTCAGCATGGGCACCATCTGGTCGGCGAGCCCGGCCAGGGCCGCCTGGCCAGCAGACGACAGCGCCCCGCACTTCTTCGCGAAGTTGGACGCCCTCACCGCGCCCGTGAAGCCGCGCGCGAGGCACGCCACCAAGGGCATCATGTGCGTCAACTGGCCTTCCGCCTGTGACTTGATCATGACCAGGTGGTGGTGACTCATCCCGCGCTGGCGAAGGCGTCGGTTGGCGGCCAAAGGTGCCGGAATGATGCTGCATGGGCACTCTCCGACTCGTCGCAGCCATCTGCACTGCTCGCACCACTGCTGTCCAGGCGGGCCCCGCAGCTCTCACGCGCTGGTGGTGATGGGGCGGCCAGCATGCATCTCCCCATTGACGACGCACTTCGGGTCGACCACGGCGACGATCGGCGCAACCTCGAATCGCGGTGCCACGATGCAGGCCCAGGCGGCGAGCTCGCCGCCGTTGATGCCCACGCATGGCTGGCATAACTGGCCCGAGACCTCGTCCGCGACTGGCTAAAATGCCACTGCGCCCCAGCCCGCCGAAGCACAGCCGGCGAACGCCGACTCGAAGGCTGAGCCGTCCGAGAAAACTTCGCCCGACGGAATGACCCCTTCATGAAGTCCGCGCCAGTGCACCTGCTCGCGCTGCGCGGGCCCGGCGAGGCCCGTCTGCGCAGGCCAGAAGCACCTCCCCAGCAGTAGCTGCACCTCGGCGAGGTCCGAGCGCTCGCGTAGCCTTCGGACCGCGGCAGACACCTGCGCGACGCCCTTCCAGCTGTCGCAGTCGCAGCGCATGTGCAACAGCGTGCCCCGCTGGTCGCAAAGGAGGCAATCGTCCGAGGGACCATGCCAATGCCCGCGCTCCTCGCCTGCGGCCACTGGCCGTTGGCGACCAGCGACCCGATGTGCCCGCGCTCATTCAGCATGGGCTTCACCCCTCCTGCGGGGCTCCTGGCCCGTACCTCTGCGAGCGTACGCGCTGTCGACAAGGCCCGGCGCCGTGAGGCGCGCCAGCGGCTCCAGGGCCCCACCTCGCGCTATGTGCTCGCAGCCTGGGGGGCTGTGATTTCCCGCCGCTGCCAACTCTCTCGACGGCGCGCAAAAGCAACTTCTCGATGACCCACGGGGAGGCGTCGAAAGGCCGCGCCTCTGTCCCATCGTGGCACCTCCATCGGTTAGCATCAATGATGCCCCAACCAACCCGACGCAAGGTGACGACGACCGCAGGCAGCGGGCCCTGGGCGCGCGCCCAGATAGTTGCTCGACCTTCACGCAGGCAGAAGTCGATCATGTGGCGAGGCACACTGAACCCTGGACCCAGCCCTCCCACCTCGCGCGCAGCAACATCATCACGGGCGCGAGAGTGGCGTGAATCACTGGGTCGATGCCTGGCTGAAGCATCAACGCATGGGCGCGCTCTCTCCCCTCTCCCTTTCCCTCCTCCTCCTCCTCCTCCTCCTCCTCCTCCTCGCGCCGCCGCCTCCCGAGTGGGACCGTCACCCCCTGCGCCCAAGGGGGACCGACGGCGATGCCGGAAAGAGGTCAGTCCGGCGGGGACGAATCGAGAAGCAGGTTAATTCGCTGGCGCTCGCGCGGGGCGGCCCCTGGGGGTCCCCGGACGAAAAGTACCCCGGGCGATCCCCGACCGACCCCCGAGCGATCCCCGGGAGACTCCCCCAGAGCGCTCCAGGAGCGCACCAACAGGGCTCCGAGACGTCCCCGAAACCCTCGAGACGGGTCCAGATGCCCCCAAGAGGCTCCCAAGATGGTACACAAGGGTTCCGAGATGCCACATGATCGCTCCAAGACGCCCAAGATGGCCCCCAGACGCCCCAAGAGGCCTCCAAGAGCACTCCCAAAAGGGCCCCAAGAAGCAAAATTCATAGCTTTTCCTTAGGTTTTTGAGAGATTTGGGAGCTTCCACCTTTTCGGCTTCCCGACGCCCCAAGACGGCCCAAGAGGCCCCCAAGATCGCCCCAAGAGGGCCCAAGAGGCCCCCAAGAGGGCCCCAAGATGGCCCAAGAGGGCTCGAAGACGGCCCAAGAAGCCTCCAAGACGGTCCAAGAGGGCCCCAAGAACGCCCCCAAGGGGGCCCCAGAGAGGGAACACGAAACAACATTTCGAGCCCTCGGCCCTAAGAAGCCCCCACGAGGCCCCAAGAGGCCCCTAAGAGGCCCCAAGAGGCCCCCACGAGGCCCTCAGGAGGCCCCCAAGAGTCCCCCAAGCGGCCCCAGGAGGCCCCCCAAATGCCCCCCCGAGCGCCCCAGGAGTCCCCCAAGCGGCCCCAGGAACCCCCAAAGCGCCGCATTGACACCAGGCCCTCGGGCAAACGGCAGACATGAGACTGTATGGGCCGGCGGAATGAGCGAAGCGATTAATAAGTATGCCACATGCACTCGCGCTAGGTCCGCTCAACGTCAACAAACATTATCCCGGCAAAGCAACCTAACAGCGATGTGTAGGAGCATATCTGGAAGCATTCCCCTTAAGATTCAGATAAGAATCCTGTTGTAGAATTCTGCTGTTCTCGCAGTCGTGGTCGCATTCGCGATGGCAGTCGCAGTGGCAACAGCAGTCGCAGTCACAGCCTCAGCCTCAGCCTGCCTCAGCCTCAGCCTCAGCCTGCCTCAGCCTCAGCCTGCCTCAGCCTCGCCCTCAGCCTGCTTCAGCCTCAACATCAGTCTGCCTTCAGCCTCGGCCTCAGCCTGCCTCAGCCTCACCCTCAGCCTGCATCAGCCTCAGCCTGCCTCAGCCTCAGCCTCAGCCTGCTTCAGCCTCAACATCAGTCTGCCTTCAGCCTCGGCCTCAGCCTCAGCCTCAGCCTCACCTGCATCAGCCTCAGCCTCAGCCTCAGCCTGCCTCAGCATCAGCCTGCCTCAGCCTCAGCCTCAGCCTGCCTCAGCCTCAGCCTGCTTCAGCCTCAGCCTCAGTCTGCCTTCAGCCTCGGCCTCAGCCTCAGCCTCAGCCTGCATCAGCCTCAGCCTCAGCCTCAGCCTGCCTCAGCATCAGCCTGCCTCAGCCTCAGCCTCAGCCTGCCTCAGCCTCAGCCTCAGCCTGCTTCAGCCTCAGCCTCAGTTGCCTGCAGCCTCGGCCTCAGCCTCAGCCTGCCTCAGCCTCAGCCTGCATCAGCCTCAGCCTCAGCCTCAGCCTGCCTCAGCATCAGCCTGCCTCAGCCTCAGCCTCAGCCTGCCTCAGCCTCAGCCTCAGCCTGCTTCAGCCTCAGCCTCAGTCTGCCTTCAGCCTCGGCCTCAGCCTCAGCCTGCCTCAGCCTCAGCCTGCATCAGCCTCAGCCTCAGCCTCAGCCTGCCTCAGCATCAGCCTGCCTCAGCCTCAGCCTCAGCCTGCCTCAGCCTCAGCCTCAGCCTGCTTCAGCCTCAGCCTCAGTCTGCCTTCAGCCTCGGCCTCAGCCTCAGCCTGCCTCAGCCTCAGCCTGCATCAGCCTCAGCCTCAGCCTCAGCCTGCCTCAGCATCAGCCTGCCTCAGCCTCAGCCTCAGCCTGCCTCAGCCTCAGCCTCAGCCTGCTTCAGCCTCAGCCTCAGTCTGCCTTCAGCCTCGGCCTCAGCCTCAGCCTGCCTCAGCCTCAGCCTGCATCAGCCTCAGCCTCAGCCTCAGCCTGCCTCAGCATCAGCCTGCCTCAGCCTCAGCCTCAGCCTGCCTCAGCCTCAGCCTCAGCCTGCTTCAGCCTCAGCCTCAGTCTGCCTTCAGCCTCGGCCTCAGCCTCAGCCTGCCTCAGCCTCAGCCTGCATCAGCCTCAGCCTCAGCCTCAGCCTGCCTCAGCATCAGCCTCAGCCTCAGCCTCAGCCTGCAGCCTCAGCCTCAGTCTGCCTTCAGCCTCCTCAGCCTCAGCCTGCCTCAGCCTCAGCCTGCATCAGCCTCAGCCTCAGCCTCAGCCTGCCTCAGCATCAGCCTGCCTCAGCCTCAGCCTCAGCCTGCAGCCTCAGCCTCAGCCTGCTGCCAGCCTCAGCCTCAGTCTGCCTTCAGCCTCGTCCTCAGCTTCAGTCTGCCTTCAGCCTCAGCCTGCCTCAGCCTCAGCATCAGCCTGCCTCAGCATTCAAAGTGTGGCCCGGGAATGGAGTTCTGGGAACTCGAAGAACACGAAATGGCCTACAGTTGGCTCCGGGCATTCAAAATCATGCCCAGGAATGGAGTTCTGGGAACTCGAACACCACGAAGTGGCCTACAGTTGGCTCCGGGCATTCAAAATCATGCCCGGAATGGAGTTCTGGGAACTCGAAGACCACGAAGTGGCCTACAGTTGGCTCCGGGCATTCAAAATGTGGCCCGGGAAGTTCTGGCTGGGAAGAAAAGTGGCCTACAGTTGGCTCCGGGCATTCAGAATGTTCTGGGAAGTCGAAGAGCACGAAGTGGCCTACAGTTGGCTCCGGGCATTCAGAATGTGGCCCGGGAATGGAGTTCTGGGAGGTCGAAGAGCACGAAATGTGTGACTGTTTGCGAAAAACTATCCCCCCCGGCAAGCCCCAACGGCCCCCCAACGGCTGCCCAGACCCCCCTGTGGAGTAATGTGCTGCTCTCTTTTTAGACTATTAGAAACCTATCAGTCTTCGCTGTTAGGTAAAAAAGAGGATGAGCAGGAGGCCCCCGCCGATCCCCCAAACCTCGGCCGGCTAGGAAGCCACGCTGCGGGTCCAACTGGGACGGCGGCGGGAGGAAGAGCGGGGGGGAGAGGCGGGGAAGGGGCCCGCCCCCGCCAACCCTCCGAGACTGCGCCGGCCAGGGGGCCGCGCTACCAGTATGGGCGGCAGGGGGGCAAGAGGGCAGGAGTGGAAACGGGGCCCCCCACCCCCGCCGAACTCCCAATAACTCGGTCGGCAAGAAGCTGTGTAGCGGACGGCGGCGGAAGGGAGAGGCGGAAGGAGATGGGGGGGGGGAGAGAACAAGACGTCGGCCGCGCGGCGGTCCTGAACTGGACTGCGGCGGCAGGGGGAGGAGGGAGGAGAGGAGGGGGAGGCCCCCCCCGCCGACCCCCCAGGACCTCGGCCCGCCAGGGGGCCGCGCTGCGGTAGGCGGGGCGGCGGCGGGTGGAAGAAGAGGAGGGAGAGGAGGGGAAGGCCCCTACCCGCGCCGTCGAAGACCCTGGCCGGCTGGGAGGCCGCGCTTCGGGTCTGAGCAGAACGGGGCACCCCCGTCTACCCCTCACGGCCTCGGCCAGGCAGGAAGCCGCGCGGCGGGTCTGAGCGGAACGGCGACGGGAGTGGCTAGGAAGCCGCGCTGTGGATCTGAGCGGGACGGCGGCGGGAGGGATAGGAGTAGCAAGGGGGGGGGGCGGGATGAGATAAGAAGGAGGAGAAGCGGCGGTCGGGCGCCGGCGGCGGTCGGGCGCCGGCGGCGGTAGCGCGCGGGCTGCCAGCTCTTGGGCCAATTCGGCTGTGGAGTTACACGGGAATGGTTACCTCGGCAGCAGCAGGGAGGAGTAGGGGGCCATCCCCCCCCGCCGACACCCGTGGACCCCAGCCGACCTGAGGGTCGTGCTGCGGGTCCGGGCGGGGCGGCGGCGGGAGGTAGGCGGAGGAGTAGGGTGCCACCACCACCCCCGACCCCCCGGACACCCGCCTGCGCGTGGCCGTGCGGTGGGTCTGAGCGGGACGAGAGCGGGAGGAGGGGGAGGAGGGGGAGGAGGAGGAGGAGGAGGATATTCTTTTAACCATCGACCATGATGCAGCCCACCTACGCCTCAGGGCTGGGCGAGTCCACCTGAGGGAAAAACTGCTCCTCAACAAGACGCACTGGACAGTTGAAAAGAAGCGAAACAGCGAGGGGCGCCACGCACTGTGCAAACGTGAACAACCCCTCACAAATGGCAAAACGTGTTTAAATCGACCGTGACCCCAAGCTTTTGGGATGGAGCCCCTTTTTCAATTTATCCCACGGATTGCTGTGTGACGCCACTTTGCCTGGCTCACACTTTTTGTCGAGGTTCCGCAACTGACCCCCCGACGTGATGAGGAGGAGGAGGACGAGGACGAGGACGAGGAGGAGGAGGAGGAGGAGGAGGAGGGGCACTCTCTTGGGCATGAGCCCCCGCACAGAGCTCTCTGGGGCCCACGAGGGCAGCTTCGGAAGGGGTCGGGGGGAGACGAGGGCCACGGAGGGGAAGCCGCGGAAGGGGCCCACGGGGGCAGCCGCGGAGCCGAGGGCCGAGGGGGGGGGGGCAGGTCGGCCCACTCGAGGGGGGGCCCTCCCGCGTCGGTTGGGGAGAAGAGGAGGAGGATAAGACCGACGACAAGGAAGGCAGGGCGAGCAGAGATGGAGGGAGGGAAGCGGCCCTCCTCCTCGCGGCGGGCGAGGCCCCCGCCCTGTGACGGTCAGCGAGCTCGTGGGTGCTGTTGTCCAGCTGACCTCTATGGAGGTCTGCGTGGCCTCCACGAGCGCGATGGGGTCTTCGGCGTACACTGGGGCCTCCCCAGCCTCGGGGCGACATCGCCGCGGATCGATCGGGATGGGGGGAGGAGAACGATGAAGAGGAGAATGACGACGACGACGACAACGACGACCTTCCTCGACATTTTTCCATCCAGGGGGGGGGGGCGCTGGCGCTGTCGGACCCCGGGATAAACAAAACAACTCGCTAATAGAGAGACAGGACGCAATGATGAGGTCGAGAGCTTTGGGAGCTGGGACGGCCTCCAAATACTCCTATTCCTCCATGTCTTCCTCGAAGACGGAAGTAGGAGCTAAAGACAGCGAATATGACATGATGATGTTCGCCCAGCCGGCAACAGATAGGCATCGCGATGGCTGAGGATGGCTTCAGATGGCCCTCAAAACCCCCAAACTGCCCAAGAAGAGGCCTCCAAACGGACCTCGGGCACGGAATCTTGAAATCCGCTCGCCTCTCCCCCGCCAAAGATTGCCCCAAGACCTCCCCAAAGGGCCCCGCAGCTCGCCGGAGGCCAAAGGCATTACAAAAGAGCATCAACAAGTCAATGCCCACAATCCTCGATCTTCCTCCTCGGTCCTTACAACATCTAGATATCGGCAAGAGTAACTCGCATGAAGGGAGGGCGAGGCCCGGAAAGAAATCTGGACTTGACGCAAGTCGGAACTCACTTGCGCGCCCTTTCGACCCAGCACTGAAAAAAAAGGCGGCGCACGGGGCGCAGGGAGGGAGAAGCCACGCAAGCAATCTTCTCTGAGTCTAAAGAACAGTGGCCTCTTACACAAGTCCGCCACTGCACCTCCAGCACGTAGTGGAGAGTGCACCCCAGGCTCATACAGTTGCAGCAAAAACTAAGATGATGGTACGGCTCTGATGTGAGAGGCCCCGGGACCGCGTCTGTCCTAGCTTTCCTGGGCAGAGCTGGGCACTTCTGGTGCGCGGAGGGTGGGGCCAAGACGGTCCAAGAGGGTTCCGAAACTGTCCCAGAAAAGCCCCAAGACGGCCAACGATGGCATCAAGGCGGCCCAAGAGGTCTCCACGACGGTCCAAGAGGGATCCCAGGAGGACCTCCAAGAGAGCCCCAAGAGGCAAGATTCAGTGGCGTGCATTTGAGTTTGAAAGATTCTAGCGTTTCTCGCCTTCTCGAACTTCTGAACCCCCAAGGCGGCCGAGGATATCCCAAATGTAGCCCCAAGACGGCCCTAGAGGCACCCAGATGGCCCCCAAAAAGACCCCAGGAGGGCCCCAAAGAAGCCCCCAAGACGGCCCCAAGACGCCCTAAGAGCCCTCCAAGACGGCCCAAGAGAAGCCAAAGAGGGCCCCAAGAGGTGCACAAAAGGGCCACAAGAAAGGCTCAACCAGGGGGACCCGAACTGACATTTCAAGTCCTTCGCCACATGACGACTTCCGAGACCGTCAGCAGCATCCCCACAAGAGGTCCCCGAGAGGCCTCCAAGACGCCTCAAGAGGCTCCCCAGACGCTCCCAAGAGGCCCTCAACAGGCCCCTAAAATGCCTGCATCCAAGGGTCCTCTGACCCACAGCCCAGGCACGGTGCGGGATGGGCCGACGGCCACTAGTCCGCCGCCCCCTGTGTTTATCACAAGGGGGCTTGGCCTGCTTGATGAGAGGTAAGCAATGCCTGAGCCCTTTGGTTAAGGGTTCAAACATTGCCTGAACCCTTTGGTTAAGGGTTCCGAGTGGCCTCCGGCTTGGCAAGCAACCGTGTCCCAAACACAGGCGTTTCGTCGGAGACATCCTCAAGCAGGGTGGAGGAAGTCAAGTTGCCAGCTTTCGATAATGAGTTGCGTACCGCCGCTCCCCCCTGAGGCTGGGGATCGGTCCACTGGGGTGTTTGCGGCGAACTCGAACCGCCGACGCCGCGATGTGTTCACAACGTGGATCCCTGGCAATCTCGAGCCATTCATTGGGAACGGCTCTTCATCCTGCATTGTTTTGTTGATAGTAACGAGGCCCAGCAAAGGCCCCTAGAAGAAGAACGCTGTAACACAACTCCCGTCGTGATATATTCAACGGCGCAAATATCCAAGATTGACAGAAGCCCCTTTAGCACAACGCCCTTTAGCGAAAGCTGTTGGGGCACTCCACGGGTGCGCGCGGCACCGAATTCCGAGTGCACCTGGGCAGAATCAGTAATCAAAGTCCAAAAACATCCAGTTGTATCCGGCGGAACACACGTCCATTAGCGAAACCGACCAGGAACTGCACCAGCACACTGGCAAGCCAATGTCACATGAACCCGTGCAGATGCCCTGAGTCCACTTTAGCGAACGCTGTTGGGGCGCCTGCTGGCAGGCTGGCCCCCTGCCCCGCACGCCCACCGTGCAGTGCCCCCCCCCCCCCGGGAGCGAAGGGAGACGCGGCCGCGGGCCTCAAAGAGCAGGCCGTTCGCGGGGGTTCCCACCTCGCAGCCGTCCGCATTGCACACGAACACCTCTCTCGCCCCGGCTCGGGAGGAGGACCCCGGCTATTGGATAACAGATGCGTTTGGGGTCGCGATCGGTAGCGACCGATCGGCACTCCAAATCGGTCACGACCAATCGCGGTCGCCTCCGAAATCAGTGGCGGCATGTCGCGACCGATCGCGACCGAGCGGTCGCGACCAGTCGCATTGCACACGAACACGTCCAAAACACCATAGCAACCGATGTCTAATCGGTCGGACCTTGAACATTCCAGTATCAAATGATGGGCGGATGAGGAGGACAGAATCAGATACGGTAGAATACAATCGGGACCGAGGTGAACAGTAGCATCTGATACTACAAGTAGAAATATAGAAATGCAATGCGGCACAATCATATAATATAAACAAAGATGTATGCCTATAATTTACTAGATGGCACGATGAGATAACAGGTGGAAATGTTCGATCAGATAATATTCGCGCCGAGAGGAGGAGAAAGAGGAGGAGGAGGAGGAGGAGACGATGCGATAAGGCAAGGGTCGCGCCAACAGGAGGAGGAGGAGGCGGAGGAGGAGGACAAGGATAAGAGAAGATTCGCGCCGAGACGGCGATCCTGCCCACTGGGCTCCGCAGGCCCGCCGAGCGGGCGTGGCGGCCAAAGGCGCGGGCCGCGCGGCCCCCGCCCCCGCCGCCGCCCCCCCCCCCCCCTTTTCAGTGGAACAAAATCGAAGTCTAGGGACGGAGAGGGGAAGGGCGGGGAGGGGGGGGAGGAGGGGGAGCAGGAGGGGGAGGAGGAGGAGGAGGAGGAGGAGGAGGAGGCAAAGCGTAACCTGGGGGTTCATCGTCATGCCGCACTACTCTCTACCACCAGCCTGCCTGTCCTCCCTCGCGCTGTGCCCCTCAGCCACTTGGCCATGTGTGCTGCGGCGCGGCAAGGCGACGTTTACAGAGGAGGACGGAGGCCTATGGTGCACATAATACACGGTATTTGAAATCCTGTTCAGGTTAACCACTTGCACGTCTGACCGATGCAGAGTCGGATCGCCATTGTGCGGGGGCGCATTTGGCGGCACATATGCGTGGGATGAGTTGTTCGCGACAGACGGGGGGGAAGGGCGGACAGGGGGAAAGACAGAAGGAGAGAACATGGCGCAGGATACCTCTGGCCCACTGCCTGGGACAACCATGCGAATGGCAGATAAATCTCGCGGCATCTCATAGTCGGCCCATTTGAACGTTGCGGGCTGATCCGCCGAATTCGCCAAAACATCAAAAGAAGAGATTGGGCCAGAGGATGAAAACTGGTCATCATGATCAAAGAGCCTACGCACTACTCGGACATTATTTTCCGCACAGCGCGCCACATCAGAGGGTCTCGATGGGGAAGTGGTACTCGTTCCTGGAGCCGATCCTGGTGTACCACACGGCCTCGATCTCCTCAGAGTTGGACTGGTAGAGGCATCTTCTCCGCCATCAATCGTCGTGGCATCCACGCCGATGTTCTCGGAAGAGGGGAGAGAGCTGCTGTCGTCAGACTGGTCGTCTGCGGAACATGATGAGCTCTGGGGCGAGGAGGATGCCGAACGTGTCTGATCTGCCACTTGGCGTGCTCGGAGGACGTGCTGGTGGAGAGCTGCCCTCGCGATCCACTTCAGCTGCTTGCCACGCAGCGGGAGACGTACTGCGAGTCTAGTGGCTTCCACCAGCTTTGCAGCCTCTGGGTATGACGGTGGTGAACCGAACTTGTGGGAGACCAAGCGATAATGGTGGTACATCGCAATCAGGAATGCAAGCGACCCTTCAGGCAGAAGTCCCAGCCGTCCTTGTACTGAGCATGGAAGGTCAGAGCGCAGCGCTAGCGCTGCAAAATGGTGTAGCCGAGGACAATCACACATGTAGTGCGAGATGCGGTCAGGAGCCCCGCAGCATCCATAGATGCACCCCGCCTCGCGCTGCATGCGAGCATTCGTGATCCATGCTCCTGTCCACGATTTGAGAGCAACAATGCTCCACGCTGTTGGTGCACCCTTTACGATATCAGCAAAGATGTTCGCGTCGTCGACGTAGAAGCCAACATGCCTTTTTTTCACTCGCTGCTTAATAAGGTCCAAGAGAGATGGTGGGAAGGTGGACCGTTGGATGGTAGTCGTGAACACAGCCTGCCACTTGATCTTCGGGGGAGAGCGACCATGTGAAGTAGCTTCGAGCTGGCGTGGGATGGCGCGTAGTGGAGCGGGAAGGGTCGCGTCACCAAATAGTCGTATGATAGAGTAGGGGATATGTCCCGTAGTTGCCGTCCAGGCTTCAATTGCTAATCGTCCACCATTTTGAAGATGCGGATCTCCAGGGAAGCCACGACGCGCATCCTCCAGAACTGCCACAAACGGTGGGGCCTGCCAGAATGGCGGAGCCTTTTGAGGTAAGTTCCACCACGCTGCGAATCCTTGTGTGATCAGCGTATCCTCCAGGTCAGCAAGGACAGTCTGCCACGATGGGCATGTCAGAACTGCGGTCCGTAGCCTGGCTGCAGCTGCAGACGCATAGATAGACGGGAAACGTGGACCACCGATCATGTGAAGATTGAAGCAGTCTGCCGTTCGAAGCATAGAGCTTGGGGCTCGAAGGATACGGGCGATACAGCGGCGTTGCCATTGTCCATTCTTTCAAGTCATGGGGACGAGTTGCGCAACATAACTGAGCACAGGGACTGCACGTTCGCGATAGAGGGAGGCCATCACAGACACAGGGGCGCCAGACAGGCTGATGTCGACTGCCCGCGCGTGGTGCTTCGCCATCGTTTCATGCCATTGGTCTGCCACACTCGCACCAGGACCGATACGAAAGCCGAGATATGTGCATACATTCACTATGGCAAAGGCCTTCCACGCGGGGTTAGCGCCAGTCAGCGCAGAGCGGAGTGCCATCGTAGTATCTTCATTAAGCTGATTGGCGAGCGGGATTGCAGCACACTTCCGATGCTTCAAGAAGAGGTTCGCTAGCTCCTCTGCGAGGCGAAAGGTTCGAGGCAATCTGTAGTGCGCACGATTCAGAAAGATAACCACCCCCAGGTCGTTTGCACACGCACGAGGGATCCTCAAGGTCGGAGAAGGGCGTGAAAGGCTGACTTCCATGTCGAGCAGAAATGGGTTCGCTGCAATAACATAGAGCGGGCCACTTAGAGGACACCCTTGCAATACCCCCGAACGCATACAATACATATAGTGCAGCTCTTCACCTCCGAAGTAGCACATGGTATGAGAATCTAAGCTTTCAAGCGCACTCTTCAACGGTTGTGGGAGACGTAGCCGAGCGATGCGCTGAAATAGCCAGGGCCGGCTGACACTGGGGAAGGCCTGCGCAAAGTCGAACGCGAGCAGAGCAGGGCACTCTGTGGGGCGAAGATGAGCAAGAATGCTCGCCTTCCTCGCTTCTGCGTCCAACATGAGAACATTGTTGAGGAAGTTGCGGCCTTTGATGAAGCCGTTCTGGCATTTTGCGACCACAGACGTCGCCACAGGATGAAGGCAGCGATTGAGAACACCGCATATCACTTTATTGCATGTGTTTTTGAAGCCTAGGGGGCGGGTCTCGCTAGGGTCACGTCGCACCCCACCGCGATCAGGCTCAGCTCGGAGGGCAATGGGGTCCTCGAGGGGCTTCGGAAGGAACACAGAGAGCAGCGCCGTGAAGTCGCTGCCCATGCAGTGGCCCTGCAGGAGCCAGTTGAGGACCTCCGTCAGCATCAAGGGGCCCGCTCCAATGCTCCACGGAAAGTAGTGTAGCCCATCAGGGCCAGGTGCAGCCCAATTCGCTTGCCCAAGAAATCGCCGTATGTCCGCAACCACAGGGGGCCTGATATCGGTGAAGTCGGCTGAGGTGGTGAACTTGGTCAGATAAGGGGTGGCCTTGTGGGGGACTGGTTTCGCGGTCTCGAAGACTGGGGCCCAGTGGAGAGCGAGGTCTTTGGCAAGGGAGAGCCCTGGAGAGACAACGCGCACATGCACCGCTTGATCAAGAGCTCGAGAGACCCCAAGACGCGCCATGCGGCCTAGAGTCCCAGCAGGGTCTTCCTGGTCCACCTCCTCCTCTTTCCCAGAGACAACGCTCAGCGAGAACTTGCGCCGAGCCAGCGGGTTCCAAAGTTGGGCGCGGCGCGCCAGAGCCCGCGCCTGACCGAGAAGGCGAGATTTACGATCAGATCCCTGCGCGCGATCCGCTGCACGAAGCATGTCCCTGTGTCTACCCTGTTCCTGCTAGTGGATGTTCGAGTGATAGCTCATAAAGGCCTCAGGGTCGATGAGGCGCGGAATCCCCGAGGAAGTGTCGATCATATCTTTCACCCAAGAGTGCCGTGCACATAGGATCAGAACAAGCTTCGAATCAGCACGCCACACACACCTCGCAATAGACCTCGAAATCATCGCTCGCGACGCGGTAGAACAACCATCCGAATGCAGAATCGCATCCCGAGTGAGGCGCCCCGCAGCTTGTCGAATTCGGGTCGCCACACGAAGCGTGGTTGGTGGGTCGAACGCTAGGGGCTCAATATTTGCAGCCTCCTCGAACCACCGTACCGTTGCGGCATATAAGGGATCCGAGTAAACCCAACGTGGGAGAGGGCGGGGGCGGGCAGAGGTAGGAGAGCCGCTGGAGCACCACGTGACAATGACGGGAACATGATCAGATAACTGTTGCAGGAATGCCTCTTGGGGTTCCGAGAGAGTTCTGCATAATTGACGCGACTGGCAGAGAATCCATGGTGGAGTGGAGGTGAATCGCCTGTCAATTTTCACTGCGGACTGCGTGCCCTCATCCCAATGAGTGGGCAGCTCTGAGCCCAACTCTGTCAGCATATGGAATATGGAGCGCCACGCGGCGTCTCCAGGCTTGGCGGCACGCGATGCTGCGCGCCTCCGAGATGACGAAGCCGTCGAGTAATCGATAGCACCGTCGGCGATATTGAAGTCGCCAGCCAGGATGGTGGTGTACAACAATGGGGTCCTGCGGGCCAGCGCTGCCTGCCTCGC